GGGGGGGGGGGGGGGGGGGGGGGGGGGGGGGGGGGGGGGGGGGGGGAGGAAGAGAGGAGGGGAAATGCACTAGTGATGAAATAGTGAAAGCGACTAACCGTCTTTGAGACCAAGGCACTTTCCCCATTCCTTGATCGAGATATTGCCGTCGTTGTTAACATCGCAATTCTCCAGGAACGGCTTAATGCACGATTCCATTGGAATAACTGGAGCTGTGATTGGGATCAGCTCATGATGTGACACATGCTTGTCGTGCGGCTTAATATCCAGGTCACAGAATTTCCAAATTACTGGATAGACGTGCTTCTTCTCATCGTCATTCTCCGCTTCCGCAATCAGTTCCTCCCATTCCAAGTTGTGCAGCTCACGTCTCTTTTTCAGCTCACGCATTACCTGCAAGTGCCCTGTGACAAAACTGTCATGATTTTCTTGGATCTTCCATAATTCGAGAGGATAGAAGGCTGTAATGATGACTCCCACTCCTACCCATACGCGAAGTTCGGCCTCTTTTTATAGCTAAGGGATGAAACACAGATTGCGTCCTAACATGCCTTCTTAAATAAAACACTTAGCCCAATCCCTTCTTTCTCCAGAAAACGGAATACGGTCTCTACCAATGACGCAGCTCGGATCAGACGACATCGACATTTTCGAACGGTTATAGCAAATGTCACTTTCTGCACTTTTTTTTTTGAAACAGTTCTCTGGAAAGTGATTTTAACTGGCACTCTGAAATTTTGCAGTAACGAACAGCCCTAAATTTAGGCTTCATTTGGTTTTTCGGTTTTTTTCCGTAGCGAATCGACCCCATTACAAATCGTTGGAATTTGTTTTGGTAGTAAAATGATATCAGTGCGCGCTCGGAAGTCAAAACTGCCTTTAGCAATAATACATTCAGAGGACAGGCTATGTTCTTTTGCGACTTTACGTTTCCGTCTAAAATAAAATTACCCCGAAAAACGTGTCGTTTTGAATGAAAAGCATTTAGATCTGAAAGTGCTTCTCTTGAAAAAGACTACAATTCGCTGGGAAAGTGATGGGTTTTAATGATATACCTGGAAAAGCCAGTCAGCCATTCGTGTCGGAAACTGAACCATTAGATCATCGGTGCACGGTTCGAGCATTTTGCAAGCCCCCAAATACTCCAAGTGCGCTTTTGCATTGGCCTTATTCTGGAACAGAACTTTGATGGCACAAGGCTTTAGGCTTATTTGCCAACTGAGGAAATTCCAGCTAACGAAAGTGGGTGGAAAATTTACAGTAATCTGTCAGTTCACAATAAATAAATCAATTTTATCAAAAAAGAGTGAAGCCAAAATTACTTTAAAAGAATAAATAATGAATAACAACTGATCTTTATAACAGACATCTTGTTAGATTAGGCGGAGCAAGCCTTTTTCGAGAATTGTTCTGGATCACACTAGCAAAAGTGTCATAACCACCGACGAAGAAACTTGAGTAGTCCTGCTTTGTACTTACAGACACAATAAAATCATCAAGGATTTGACTTTAAAAAAAAAAAACGTTTGAGAATTGCAAAAATCAATGAAACTGGACGGGCACAAAACTCAGGCCGGTCCTCCAAAACTTCTAAAATCCTACCCAAGGCCAAAGCTAGTTGGTGACAATACAACTAAAATAAATGGCCAACGCACGGGCTGCCCGTGCGAAGATGCGTTTTTTGCAGAGTTCCCCGC